GCGCTGTGGCTCAAGTGGTAGAGCGCTAGCCTTGAGCTGAAGAGCTGAGGGACAGCGCCCAGGCCCAGAGTTCAGGCCTCATGACCGGACCAAAAATAAATAAATAAAAATAAATTTTCAGATGATATAATGTGTATTGGAAATCTCAGCAGATCCACACACATAGAGGTAATGAGTGATCAGGATATATAATCAACAAAGAACAGTTGCATTTCTGTACACTAGCAACAGATTACCTTTTAAAATAAGATATTGTTTACTTTGTGCAAACTGTGTCTTAGAATTGTGAAACTTTCTTTATTTTTACAGAGCACACAATTCAGAATTTTCCTTGAGTCTCAGAAGAGACTTTGGACTTGGCCTTGAGCAATGCTGGTACCAAGACTCTGGAAACTCTTCAAGATGGACTGAGCGCCCCTTGCACTGAGATTGGCACAAGCCTTCCAGGGCCACAGCCAGACTACTGTAGTTCAAATACAAAATGTTCCCCAAAAGCACATGTGTTAAGAACTTAATCCTTCACTTAGCATTATTAGAAGGTGTTGGAAACATTGAAGGGGTGGGGAACCTAGTGGGAAAGTTAATCATTGGGTTTTGGTTTCCAGTTTCTTCCTCTTCTTTGTTACTTCCCAACCGCTATGAAGTGAGCCTACTGAGGAAACCTGAGTCCAAGTAAACCTTTCCTCCTTGAGTTGGTTATCTCAGGTATTTTGTTATAGTAATGAGCAGATGACTAGCATAGAAGTTTATATTTAAAAAAAGAAGTTTATATAACTTTAAATTTTCTTCTGCATGCTGTTTCACTATTCCCCAGAAGTTTTGGCTGTGTTGCTTTTCATTCATCTCCAGGCATTCTCTTAAGTTCCCTTTCAATTTCTTTAAGAATGTGACATTTAATTCCCATGTATTTATGATTTTCCCCCAGTTTTCTTTCTTTATTCTATTTTCTTCAGTGTAACCTGAAAAGATACTTTGTATAACATCAAACTTTTAAAATTTATTAAGACTTGGTTTGTGGCCTAATATGTTGTCTTTCCTGGAGAATGGTTCCTGTGACCTTAAGAGAAGAAAAAATTACAAACCAAAATTACAATAATGCTAGATTTTATTTTTACTTAAATAGTTTTATCACTGTTTTCTGTTTTAGCCTTGGGTTTCATTTAGGGTTTGCTTCTTGCAATAATTCTAATTGTAATAAACTATCTTAGTTTGAGTGTGTGTGTGTGTGTATGTGTGTGTGTGTGTGTGTGCAAGTATTGCAGCTTAAACTCAAGGCCTTGTGCTGTTGCATAACAATTTCACTCATGGCTGGCCTTCAACCACTGGAGCCACACCTCCATTTCTGGTTTTTTGCTGGCATCTCATGGACTTGACTTCCGTGACTGGGTTCAAACCTTGATCCTCAGATCTCAGTCTCCTGAACAGCTAGAATTATAGATGTGAGCCACTGATTTTATTTATTTATTTTTTTTGGTCGGTCGTGGGGCTTGAACTCTGGGCCTGGGCGCAGTCCCTCAGCTCTTCAGCTCAAGGCGAGCGCTCTACCACTTGAGCTACAACGCCACTTCTGAGGATCGCGGTTCAAAGCCAGCCCGGGCAGGAGAGACCGTGAGACTCCTATCTCCAATAAACCACTAGAAAACCAGAAGTGGCGCTGTAGCTCAAGTGGTAGAGCGCTCGCCTTGAGCTGAAGAGCTGAGGGACAGCGCCCAGGCCCAGAGTTCAAGCCCCACGACCGA